AGTCATGATCTTCATCACGTGGATGCAAGAACGATACACGGGCATCAGCGCAAAGAACAACGACGAGTTTGCGAGCGCAAGTAGAAGCGTCAAGACTGGTCTCATTGCCGCAGGAATAGTCAGCGCCTGGACTTGGGCTGCAACTCTACTTCAAAGCTCAGCTGTAGCGTTCCGCTATGGAATCAGCGGTGAGTCGAACGCCTAAGTCTATCAAAATGGCCAATGTCTCACCCAGCTTTGAGCGGTAGACAAGGGTGACGTGCGCGGGTGATTGGTAGCGTGTTGCTGACGTTTGCGACCGGGCTCCTTCCCTCTTCGCCTTAAGGACCTCTGTGGTACGCATGTGGTGCAACCGTTCAAGTCCTCGCTTTTGCAATGGTGGCAGTCAAATTGAAGCAGAATGCGCCGGGCGCCTCGACGTTTCTCCAAGTGATCAAAGCGCGCTGGGGTGCCGGAGCACATCTCATGGTGCGTGCAAAGGTTTTTTTTTTAAAGTTCTGCATACTTCTGGAGATGTGCTCAAGCTCCGTCACTGGTGCCTGTACAGGTGATGTTCTTTGCCCTTGTCACGAACATGCTCGTTGGCATCATGCTCGTGCTTGGTGGCTCCGGTACCGTGCACCAATTGACTGGCATGCCCATCTTGGGATCGATCTTTCTGACGCCTCTTGGGGTGGCCATCTATACACTTACCGGCGGAGTGAGTACGCAGCGTCGTCTAGCTAGCGCCTCTGGACCTGATCACGCACACCGTGGAAGGCTAGTCAATGAGCAAGAAATCCGGGCTCTCGCTAGCTGCTGCTCAATCTGATTGACACGATGCACGCGCCATTGTCTCCAATTGATTACAGATGCGTGCTACCTTGCTTGCGGATTACAGCCATACCGTTGTCCTTATCGTGCTGCTCTTCGTCTTTGCATTCACGGTGTACACGCCCGCTTTGTCAGATTTGATCGGCAGCCCTTCCCGAATGGTCGAGCTGCTGGCTCAAGCCGCGCCCGTCGAGGGCAACGCGGCAGGATCCTACCTCACCGTCCGCTCTCGAAGTGGATTCATCTTTGGTCTCATCAACATCATTGGAAATTGCGGTGAGTGTCGATAGAATTTCCACGTCAAGTTCCCTGCGTAGCATTGCTGGACTGACACATTCTCGGCTTCATGTGCGTCAGGAACCATCTTCCTGGACCAGAGCTATCATCAAAGAGGAATCGCGAGTCAGGTGTCGACGGCGAGCAAAGCCTTCATTCTGGGAGGCTTGGCGTGGACGGCCATTCCCCTCACCATCGCTTCGACGCTTGGACTTGCTGCTAGAGCGCTCTATGGACAGTCCGATGCGATGGCGGTGCTGAC